CAGCAGCTTCTTTGATATCTGATGTTGGAGATCTCTGAGTGTCTTTGCAACTTCAGCCTCGAACCTTAACCTTCCAACAGCAGAGTCCATTTTGTCCACTTGGGAGCAGCGAAAACACGTAATAACAAGAACATTTACACATCGTCACCTTTTAAAAGTCGATGCTGTGAACATCCAGCAGACATGCAGCGACATCTGCATTTATCTGGAGTGTTTCTGGCCACCTGATGAATGGAAGCAAATATTCGTTCTCCTTTTAGCATTGGTTGGGTCTCCACAAACTCCTGAGGGAAACGTGTGGCTCATTGGGTGCTAAATATTTTACTACGTTCACCAGCTAGTAGTCTATAACTTGTCTGTCTTGTCTTGTCTGTCTGCTGTTTGGTGCTGAGCAGGTAGCATGAGGTGGGTTTATTGGAGCTTTTTCCTCTGGAAACAGCTGCCTGCTGCTTCTGGAGACGATGAGAATGGTGAGAATGAACTAAAGCGGTAAAGTTGGCGGCCAGAAAACCAAAAGCGTTAATTAGAAGATGCTGAAATGCTCTTCAGAGCTGAGAGAGGCTGCAGAGTTGAGTGAGTTATTGCGGTTTCATATGTATATTGTTAATACAAAATAGCAGCTTTACAATAGCAGCCATGTGTTTTTACACATGGCTTGAAAAGTGCATGCCACTTTAAGAGTAACCGTTACAAAGAAGCATCATGGCCAGAAGGAAACTGTCACCTTTAAAACTCAGTGGGTTCATGAAATTATAATTCAAATTTATCTTTTAAGATTAACAAAGAAAATAAAAGTACATTAATAACAAACACGTCCTTATCTGTTTCGTAATAACCTCAAGTAAGTGTGTGGAAGTATTTGCTTTACAGTATTAACTGATGGTGATGATGATGAAGATAACAGTACTATTAAAGATAATCACATGTATTATGTATTATAATTGAAGCACTTGATGTCTGGGGAACATTATAATTCATACACATTATCCACTAATATTTTATATGGATACAATAAACTCTGTGTAATTCTTCTCTTTGTCCACTAGCTGGTGGTATTTCCCTACAACTTCAGTCATGTGCAAACAACCTCTGTTTTAAAAATCCTGCTCCCTGCTGTGTGATTCACACTGAAGCGCCTCCCCTGCTGATGCTGTAACTTTGTTCCCCCACACATCAGGGCTCAGAAGACGCTCGGCTCTGTCTGATGTCAGCACGCTGTCCTTTCCATTACAAAGCAGGAGAATCTGGAGGCGCTCCTGTAAGGACAGGTCTCTGGAGTGGACACGCAGCCCGCCTTTTTTGAGCTGACGGATCATTTCGGTTCAACAACCCACCACCCATGTAGCAGCACACTGACTTTGATGTTAAGTTTATGTCCCTGCAAGAGAGTAGAAAAATAAAAGATATATATATTTATCAAAAACTGACTGTGTGTGCATGTTTGTTGGAGAGGAGCGGGAAGAAAGTGGCACAAAGGCAAGATTCTAACTTTGTTTTCTTGCATTTCATGAACTTGAATTTCCTCCCTGACATTTAATCTGACATTTAATCACTAACCTTTAGCCTCAACCTAACATGAGCTAAATTCAAACAAGAGCCTACAACCTTCATACCTATCAATGGCGACTGACCTAAAATGACTCCTAAAGGGTAACTTTGGTATTTTTCAACCTGGACCGTATACTGGACCCATTTCTTTGTGTCTCGGTGACTAATGGGGACAATTTTTGAAATTGGTGAATGAGGGGGAACGCTGCAATGTAATCATATCGGGCAATTCTGCACCTTCGATGTACGTTCACTAAAAGTGCTTGTTTTTGCCACTGACAGGCTCAGATTGTTGTTATTAGTGCCTGACAGCATTATGGAGAGGACCATACAGAGATATAAAAGGTTTCTCGTTACCTTTCGCTTTCTTGTTGCCGGAAGACGACGATGGAAGCAAATGCTTAGTGTTATCAAAAACATTTTCAATGTCATGGCTGAATATTTCGATAATTTCAACAATGTGAAGACGACAGGATATTTTCAGAGCAAGACACAAATGGTTTCCGTATTAAAGAGTCTGAAACACGTGGTCAACGTAAGAAACATCACGGTTTGGCTTAAAAACTCCAACATCCCGCCTTTAACTCTCACCTTGTCCTCCCCTAAAGGTTAATCGAGAACACACACCAGCCGTCGCTCATCACTGGGTGCGTAACGTCTCTTCATTTTATTCATCAAAAAGAATGGACTAACAGAGAGAGACCGAACAGAGGAAGCAGGAAGATCCTGCGGAGACACCAGATGCAGCAGTATTAAAATGCTGTGAGCGGAATCCTGTCACGAGCCGCTCCTCTAAAGAGACGTCACGGTGCTGCCTTACTGACATCTAGTGGCGACCAGCTCATCCCTCATCCTACAAACCCCAGAGGGATCATGTTTCATTTGTACTCACTTTATCAATCAGTTTGTTCCAAATGACTTTCATTGTTTTCTGTCTGCTTTAATTAGGGATTCCTAAATAATCATTTTAAACACCAATGTAGTCAAAAGCACCCACTTCATAGGCAGTTTTAATTGACAAGGAATAGACAGATCAAATGTTTGCCATGGGTCCTATGGTATTTTGATAAGCTAACGTGTTGCTATGATGTTTGTTTATTCAGTCGGTAGTCCTTGTATGTTACAGGTGTTGGTAGGACGAGGGTTAAACCAGTCACCATACCTCCACATGCATAAAGGGATGCTGGCCGCTCACACAAACAGCAGCATTTCACTGCATATGAATTGAAGAGAGCGGATTTACGCAGTGCGATGTTACTGCTGATACGCCTGGCCACACAACAACGTGTTGAAGAAGCGAAAGCCGGGCAAATCTCTTCTACTCAAAAACAGATATTTCATGCACACGTAACTGCCGGCTGAATGCAGCTTGAATCTGGAATATTCTCACAGACACTGATTCATAAACTGATCTGCTGTTATGGATCCAAACTCCTTGTGGTGCTTCTTCATCACTTAGCTGACAGGAAGGATGCATTTGATAGTGTGTGTGTGTGTGTGTGTGTGTGTGTGTGTGTGTGTGTGTGTGTGTGTGTGTGTGTGTGTAAGCAGAAGATGGTTCATCTTGCCACGGAACCTGTGGTTTTGTGGCCAACTGGACGATCTGAAGGCCTGTGCCTTTGGCTGAATATAGTAAGGCTCCACATGGATCCCCCAAATGATCTCTCTGAAAGGTAGAGAAGACAGTAACTGAGCCCTCCGATGGTGTCGAAGGCTCGCTAATGAAACACTGAAAGACGGTTCCGTCTTGGCAGGCGTGGAATTTTAATTGAGCCAGAACGGACTAACCAACTTCACCTCCAAAGGAAGCACATTTCCCTCACAAACGTTCTTTGTCAATCGTAATTTTATAATTTTTCGTGGGCGGAGAGTTGTGTTTTTGTTTTTTATCCACTAGGTAGCTCCAGTTATTGGTATTGATCCAAAATCTTATCAACTCATCCAGCAGACACACCGTGAGTCGAAAGTCAAACTTATCGCCCCTTTACAATCTTTAGTATAACAAGTCATTTTTATGGTAAATGAAATCAATGCTTCTGCAATAGAGAGGAGCGCAACCCAAACTGAAGGCACACACTTCCAATTACAAACTGAGAAAGACGGTTTAGCTTTGGCCAACACGTACTTCAGAAGATCAGCTAGAGGCCAGAGCAAAACAGAAACGTTCACAGTCGAGAGCGAACAAAGTTCAAAACAAACTTTGATTTATTCTTCACCCATTAATCTCTATTGGATTACAGTGTCTCCTGTTGCACCAAATAATGCCAATTAAAAGTGGCATATCCAACATGATGAACACAGACAACATTTATGTGGACTGGAAAATTAAACCTGCATGTGACAAACAATCTCATTTTATATTCAACTTTTACTTTACTGCCTTATTTAAAAGGACCTAATCCCCACAAAACAGTCATCAGATTGAACCCACGCACTCGGAAAGAGCACAACATTTACGTCTGAATAATTTTCTGACAGTTTAAGAAGGTTTGTGAACTTGGTTCCCTAAATATAAACAGACCAAATCCCAGACTGCGAGGATCAAAACGTATCAATGAGAAGAAGAATGTAGAAAATGTTAAGAAGCTTAAATCTTAATATTTGACAAGATTCCAGTGATTTGGAGGGGGGGGATTAGTGTGCATGGCTGTGTCCTCACATGCTGCCACGAGAAGTCATCAAAAGAGGACGAAGGGATTCTCAGAGAAGTCGGTGTAATTATTAGGTGTGATATGAAGTCACCGAATGAGTCATGACAAGTTCATGCTTCCATGGGGCACCGTTCTCTGAAGTCATTTATTGGGGGCATAATTTCATGTTTGAATTTATAGTATACTCATCAGAAAGTTTGTCAGTGACCTAGAATTTTAAATGTTAATATGCTAATAAATCATTAATAAAAGGCCTTTATTATGAATTCAAGAGCTAATACAACACGACAAGTGTTATGCTGGAGTAGGATTCTCCACAAACTTGGCAACCCCAAAGTGGCTTATCAGAAAGGGGGTAACCAGCCGGGTCATGAAATGTTAATGCGTAGCAGGAGGTTTAGTCCTTTCAGCTGCAGCAGGTGTAGAGTCAGCTGTTGGCTGGAGAAGAGTAAACAAAGGTTTGATAGGGAATGTTTTAATCTGCTTTTTCAGGAGGATATGAAGTGTGATCATAGATAATATTGTGAGTGCTGCTTACAACGGATAGATAAAAGTTTCCAACAGTTGTTTTTTTTAATACCTGCCTTTTAACCATTGAAGCTGCAAGTTAAGATGAGAATATCAGTTTATCAGAATGTCAGAAGGTGAAGAAATGACTAAAGTTATTTTAGCCCACAAGGTGCCATTTTTACTTCACTTTTTCCGGCCTGAACATGTTTCAGACTTCTTTTTTTCATTTTTTCTGCAGTCTGATCGTGCTGCAGAGGAGTGTTGCACAAAGACATAGAAGCAAACAATGTGTGAATTATTGGATCAGATCCCAGCTGGGACAAGAGGAGTGTAATGCAAAGTGAATAGTTTTATTTGCAGAAGCTTGACAAAAAAATGTGTTAAATTCATTTACATACAAAAAGAAGTAGAGTTTCATGCAAACAACCCCTGAGAGGCGGTCTGGTCAAAACAACTAACTAAAAACCTTGAATCCTAAAAAAGCTGTAAAAACATAACACGTATACGTAAATCTAAAAAGTACACAAAAAGAAAGTAAAACTGGGTGAATTTCAGTTGATTGTATGTTAAATGCGTCCATGCATAATTATATTATTATTATTATTGTTTTAATACAGTAAGGGTGCATAGAAGGAAATATAAGTTTCAGATAGTCTCATATATGTGCTGCAACTTTATAGCCTTTACATGCTCATTTGAATACAATACCCATGATGCCCATCGAACCACTGTTGTATTCATCCTAAAAACGGACAAATCTAAATCAATTCAACATCACACAAAACATTTATGAAGTCAAATATCTATTCGCTGCGTCTGTTGAATTATGGGTCAGAAAAACAGACCTTCTTATGCATGTGGTATTGATCACTGTGCGTGTGTGTATTGTATCAGGTCTGAGGGAATTCCCTCACTGCAGGATCAATGAAGTAATTCTCATGCTCATGCAGCAATTACAAGCAGTGATGATCGTGGTCACTGTGATTATCGAAGCGTGTGTGTGTGAGATGGGGTTTCCCTTGGCAGAGAGCAGGGATTAGTGGATTATCATCTCTGTCTCTCTCGCTCTGTGGATTAGTTTTTATCTACGAGGTAATCAGGGTTTTTACTCTCGTCTGACAGGACTACAACTCCCACAGTCGCACACAGCATTATATCAACAGCACGCAGACTCACACAGGCTGCTGTCGTATTGACACAGAGACTTAAAACCTGGGCCGAGAGAGGAAGCATGAGAGATAAAGCGCAACAATCTGGATTTACATTTTCGTACAATATGAAACCACCTGAATGAGATGTGCTCTGGGCTTCTGGATTTCATTCAGGTAATGGAGAAAGATATGAAAATCCAGGTGCACATGCATATGAAAACACATTTTGGAGATGGATAACGATACAAAACACCTCGGTGGGGGGGGTAAAAGTCACATATGGCTGCAGTGAAATTTGGTCAGAGTGATCTTTTGTTTCTCCTCATTTAATAATTTGAGTTTGCAAAGAAATGACAATAAAGGAAACAGTTATGTTGCTGCAGTTGAGGTCACCAAGGTTGTGTCCATGCAATATTTATATATTATTAAAATTCAATAAAGGAATTTGGAGGGCTGCAGAAGTTTACCTTCTAATGTCACACACATATTAAACAGGTTAGATAGTATCAGGTAAACAAAATATTAAAATTGCCGTATTTTAGCGAAATTACTTTATTTATTTACTTTATTTGAATTTAATACAAAATTTACAAAATAATTCAATTTGAATGAAAGGGGCGTTGAAACAACATTTAGACCATAATGTGAATAAGTCATATGTATTAACAAAACAAAAGATTTAATAGTTAAATTACTAAATATAATCGTGATTTCGTGATTATTTTTGAAATACTCTGAACATTTCACAGGTTTTGATATAAGAATTTGACCTCATGATCTCTGTAGCCTATTCCTAAAATCATAGGTTGAAATAAAAATACAACAGAGGTCTGTGAGAACTAATGCAGTGGAAAGTTTTAAATATTAACCAGCAGATAAAACCCTGAAATACATTATGTGCGATTGTGACGGAGGAATGGATGGAAAAAAAAACAAGATGGTGACCACAGATGAAACCTGGGATAAGCGTGTGTGTGTGTGTGCAGCTATATCACACTCACTAAACCACACAAACACACGTTGCCCGTAAATAAAGCCATATTTGTGTCATATGTCAGCTCTGTTAATATTTCTCTAGGGAGGCTGTCATGTTTTGTTGGCTGTTGTTAAAGCTCTCCATAAATGTGTCTAGAAATAGGAATTACTACTGTAGGTGCTCGATACCTTAAACTGCAAATCAAAGGCGACCTACATTTCATTTAACCGCACGTTTGGTGCTTTTTCTCTTTCAAGATGAAAGTGTGAGTGACACAAAATCTATTTTCTTATGAAATACCCATCTTCGCCACTAGGTGTCACATGTCACTACTCAGACAACATTCTTCACATTACAGTGATAAAGAATACAACAAGGTACCAACGGAAAACATTTTTGAATGTTTGCGCCACATTTTTACTTCTAACTTTAATATTAACCCAACTTCTCTTATGTCTTTTTAAAAAGTCACATATTTTCCTCCCAGAAGTCTGTTTTCAGACATTTAACCAGACATCACATCTTACTGTAGTTTATAGTTTAAGCTCCACTTTGCTGTTTGAACACACAGTATGTGATTTTTGTTTTAAATATGTGCATCATGATTTTATAGTTGACAAAATTACAATAAATTTGCGACGCATACTTAGAGGTAACATCGGTGCATCGTTAATTAACATTTTGACAAGTTTTTTTAGTATTTTGAATCCCTTTTATTTCTTTACTGAAAGCAATCTTTGAAGCAAAAGCATCGCATTGTCGAAAAGGCGTTTAGTTTTGACAGAAAAGCATTTCATTTTCTTAGATCTCCCAACATTTAAGCTTCATCCTGTTAAGGCAAGGTTTCCCTTTTCATGTAAAACAAATATTATGATAATGCTAGTGAAGGCAAAGTGATGAAATAGAGTTTTAACAACAGCATGTAATGACTGCGTGTTGTTACATATAACCCTGCAGACACACACACACAAACAATACACAGAGACAACATCACATATCAGTGCTGCCTTGCTTGTGTCTGATTTTTGAAACGTTAGATGTTTCTTTTTTTGGTAATTTAGTGCTGAAGTGGAGACACTGACACGCTGGCCTCTTTTCAGCTCTTTCACCACGTCTGGACTTCTTTATCGGAGACGAACTTCCCGTGAGGCTCTGTGGCTCCGGGCGGCAGCAGTGCCAGGTAGACCGGAGTGATGGCGCCCTCGTCTGGGGACTTGGGGGCTTTCGAACCGGCCATGTCGGTGCGCACCCAACCTGGACAGCAGGCGTTCACCAAGATCTGAGAGAAACGATAATAAAAGCAACACCAGTGTACGTTAGCAGCGAGGCTTTCACCAGAAACAAAACCCCACTGAGAGTACAAACTGATGTTATTGTGGAGGAAATCCTTCATTTGTAATTAGCGTCAACCTCCCTGCGTATATGATATGAACCCAACAACAAGGACATTTAAATTGCGTTACAGGTTACATAAAGGCAGTAAGACAATACACAAAAGAAACACAATATAAAAAAAAAATCAAACATGCATAGGTTTTTAAATGATTAAAACAGAAGATTAAACAGTAGAATACAAATTACAGGGCAGCCACAGTGAATAAAAAGTCCCAATATCAAATCTGTAGCAAACAGAAAAGTCTTGAACTGTGATTTAAAAAAGCTGAGAGTTGGAGGAGGAGTTGTCATAAATTATCCTCCCAGTGATTAAGTTGTTAACAAACTAGGAAAAATAACAGCTGAGCCGAGAAGTGAGGACATGGTGTGCATTTAACATTATATATTTTAACAAACTACTGAGTTAAACAAAGTGGTTAAAAAGAAGAGTCGGTTCTTGTTGTTTCATTAAAAGACGTTATATTTCTCAAGTTACCCCGTCATCCGGTCTCTCCTTGGACAGACGGCGAGCATGGATCATGGACAGGACCTGAGGGGGGGAACACACACACACACACACACACACACACACACACACACACAAATAATTAATGTCTTTATGAAAGGAAATATGGGATTCAAGAAGCATTTCAATCAGCTTTTCTAATGATCCCTGACTGACTGATGAATCTGACTTTCCATTATAATTACTACAAACTCGTGCTGGTCCCCACAGGTGAGACACCTGATTAAAAGGTCTGACTGGTCCTACCGTTAGTCCAGTCTTGGACGTCCCGTACGCCGTACCAGGCCAGCCGCCCTTCTGGTGCTCGCCCTTCTTGGCCTGGTCGACAAACTGCTCCATCAGTCCAGTCAGCTCCTCCTCTGAGATGTCCTCGCTGCGGAAGCGCTGCTGGAGGGCCGCGTTGCACTTGTTCAATGTGAGGGCACCGACGAAGCTGGAGACGTTCACCACGCGACCTGAAACACACACACACACACACAGAGGATGTTTGAAGCCGTTACTAAAGCCAGGAAAATGTTACGTCTTGACTTTGGTGCGATCAGGAGCTACTGGAACATGAGAGACAGCAGTTCTACGTTTTACTCTGAAGAAGACACCGATCGGTTTATTAAGACAGAGGACTTCTTCTGTTCTGCGTCTTCTTTACCTCCAGCTTTGATGAGCGGCAGGAAGTGAGTCAACATGTCTCTGGTGGCGAAGTAGTTCGTCTTCAGGGTCACCTCGGCCTGGACTGGAAATGGAGTTGTGTCCGCCCCTGAAGAGAGAGAGAACAAGAGAGATGATGTAATTATCACCTCCTTATTGGATGAATTACTTCAATTCATAGTCACAGATCAAAACATCAGATATAAAGTCATTTTATGCATTTAGGGGATTAAAAGGCACAAATAAAAACATGCTGGCACGTTCTCATTTCATACCAGCATTATTCAGATTGTCTCAGTAATATTAACATATTTAACATAATTGTGTGTATGGCCACAGTGAAGTACTACACATCATTGTAATCCTACCTTTGAATGCGATCCCAGCATTGTTGATGAGGACGTCCACCCCTCCGTACTTATCTTTAAAGTAAGCAGCAGCTGTGTTGATGCTCTTCAGGTCGTTGATGTCCAGCTGGTGAAACTTTGGCTTCAGCCCTTCGGAGGCCATAGACTCCACTGCTTCCTGACCACGGCCGCTGCAAAAAGAGAAGAAAAGATTTAGTTAATTTGAACTTTATTGGCGACATGTTGAACCAGTGGGCTTACATTATGCACATTTCCAATTGATAGGGGTGTTCTTTCATATCATGTGATCACATTTTGTATCGGTTACCCGTGTAATTCATGTCCCTTTTCGTGGGTCAGGTTTCTCTATGTTGTAACAAATAGATATTTAGGTGAAACATGAGTCATCAGGGATATTGCAGTATGTGGAGGCCTGGTAGTCGTTCCCAGGTGAGCTACCTACACGTCTCTGGCGGTGATGTAGACGTCTCCTTGGTACTCCTTGCAGAGCGCTCGGACGATGGCCAGGCCGATGCCCTTGTTACTGCCCGTTACCACTGCAACCTTGGTAGACATGTCTGTTCACAGAGAGACATCAGCGCTAATGGTTCACATAAGATTTGCCGATTCGTGGTGACAAATTTCAGAAAGAAAGAACTGTGAGAATTGTTCTAAAATCACTTTTTAAAATCTGATTTAAGACATTAAAAGTGGGGACTTAATGTGTCTTAAGTCCCCATGTAAAAACTATCGTATTGATTACATCATTAATGGTTCGCTGCAGAAGAATAAACTCTACGAGCACTAGCCTCACATTAAACACACACAGGTTTCGGTCCAGAGAAGGCAGAAAAAAACTGAGTAAATAATGTTGTTGGAGGAGAATAAACAGGGATCACATTTGCTGAGTCATGGGGGGGGAAAGAGAGAGAGAGAGAGAGAGAGAGAGAGAGAGAGAGAGAGAGAGAGAGGCAGCTGGAATTAATAAAGATTGATTTGGGAACTCACATTTGATAACATTTCTTTACTTTGAGTTAAGTCATTAAAATGGGAACCTATACTGTGAACTTTTGCATATTCACCGGTCAAATATTTTTTTGCATACCGTATTTTGATATTTTATTGTATTTCTTTTTCTACATTTATGTTTCTTGCTTATTTTATTTACTCTTACTAAGTTCATGGTTATGCCCCAAAACGCCAAAGCGAGTTGCTTCTATGTGAAAAACTTGGTAATAAAACTAATTCTGATTAATGTTTGATAATGTAAAAATAACTATAAATTGTAAAAGGTCACAGCAATAAAGGTTTCAGTTAAAAAAAAAAAGACTATTCTATCAAAAATCCCCCAAAATGATGAAGAGAATTAAGGGATACAAAGTGCACGAGTCACTGTTACGACCTTTAGTCCAGATACAAACCGTTGTTGCATTGCTAACTGGTTTTACAAAGATTAATTCATGCAACGAAGGTGTGAACGAACAGTTAACGTGATATAACTCAATGCATTGTCTCATAGCAATTGCCTGTTACATTGTTTCAGCTTTAGCAGTTTTTACCTGGTTTCAAAACAGCGTTACAAATACTGAAAACAGGTCTGCCTACTAACTGAAATATGCTAGTCAAACAAATGCAGATACTATTATATGCATACTAATGCATTTCTAACTAGTAGTAGACTGGAGGTGTCTTACTTTAAGGTGTTGAAGCTGCAGAGAGAAGCGAAGCATTCAGGAAGAAGAACGGAGGGAACAGAGGAAACAAGGGGGAGGAGAGCTGGTGGTCTGCGGCGCAGTGTTACTGCGCATACCCGGAAAAAAACAAGTCAACCACGTGGTTTGACCTGAGGAGCAGCCCGTACAGGACGAAGACTTTAAATAAATGAGAATAATATCTAGGTATTGTGCTTGGTGCTTGTTTCTTACCACCTCATGATAGTAATTAGGCACGTGTTAAATAATGTAATACTTCAGTTTGTTATTTACTTTGGATTTTAAGCTCCGTGCTACCTTCACGAAGGCTATAATCTTCACTGAAACTGTTAAAGAATATGATGATTTTTGAGACTGTAGTTTGTGTTCGTTTACTCTACCCTCAATGATGTGAATGGGTTGGACATAATATTAGAAACACCTCGTGCTCCACAGAATACAGGCTTTAAAATAACCATAATGTTGAATCAACACCTCTGTGATCATTATAACCATAATGCTGGTCGGATATATTACACAGTTATTGTGTTAGATTGCATTAGTTTCAATCTAGTGTACCCAATAAACGCTTAAACCGTTCTGATATTTGCTCAGCAAATGAGTGTAAGCAGAATACAAGAGAGGATCTTTGCTTTGGTGACGTTTATAGTTATTATGTTGATTAATTATCTATCTTATAAGCAAGTTGGGGGAATCTCCAACACCTCAGAAGTCACCACATGTTGTGTGACTGTGTGTGTTTGTGTGGTCCAGGTTCAGGTAGGGTCATGAAGGGTCGCAGCCATCGGGCTGGACGAGCTGTGAGGAAGAGGAGACGGAAACAAGAGAGCGTTGTCCAGTCGGGTATAAACCAATCAACAGCTGTATTCCTAATGTTTCTCTGCTGTCAGCTGTTTGAGCACAGATGGTTCTCTCCCATCACCGGCCTGTTTCTCTCTGTTCCCTCAGTCTCTCTGTGCCATCAGCTGCAGTATGTGAGGCTGATGAAGTTTCTTCACCAGCGAGGATTCACCTCAACGCTGCTGCAGCCGGCGATCTTCACTGGTACGACTCTGATGTCCTACTGTACTCTACTGTACTCTACTGTAGCAGACAATCTGCTTCTCCAAACCTTTCACTGCACTCAACCCGTGTGTAGTAATCTGACTGATGGATTGAATGACAGACTTTAAAGTGTATGTGTGTGTGTGTTTGCTGCTTCTGTCATCACAGACACGGGGAGAGGACTTCAAGCTGTCAAGACCATAAAGGTAAGTCTGCATCTGACTGAACGAACTACGACACATGTATGCAGTTTTTATAGCTCGTAATTACTTAAATGTCTTTCATAGGAAAGAAGTTAACAATCACATAATTAATAAACATCCAATCAGATACCTCAATTTAACCAGTAGTGTAATATTTCTGCTGACGTTTTGTTTGATTTTTGTTTTTGTCATTCATTCTTTTTTTAATCTACATTATTTCTTGAGTGTTACAATCTGTCTCTTTGTCTCTGTTCTTCCATCAGCCTGGCCAGCTGCTCATTTCTCTGCCAGAGTCCTGTCTCCTCACGACCTCAACTGTGCTGGACAGCTACCTGGGACACTATATCAAGAGGTAGAGTGAGACACATTCATATACGAGTGAATACAATCCGTCCCAACAGCCCTGCAGCAGCTTCTACCTCTTTAAAGCTCTGATGTGTCATAAGAATGTTGATCCAGCTCTGGTAGTTTTTAAACAGGCATTTTGTGTTTTTGTCGCACTGAATTGCATTAAAAAAGAAGAGTAAAGTAAAACAGAATAAGTTAAAGATAAGGAACACATGGTAAATGTAATAACATTGTAAATATACATACAGACACAAGGGGGGCGCCAATTATCACAGGGGGTGCGCCAGGATTTGTCTCATTTGAGGTTGTCAAAATTGGATTCGCACATGTATAAATAAAAATCATAACAACACACTTACTAGATAATTATACGAAAACACTATTTATTATAAAAGATATATTCTTGTGTCCTCACTCAAAAATGGTAGGCTACTTAATAGGCCACATTCTTTTCAAAGCCGGTATTTGTGCAAAGTGTCAGAGAAAGATTAAGGCGACACTCATATTATTAGGGGAGTCGGTAGTCATTGCTTGTGTCTCCACCAGCTGGAAGCCCCGCCTCTCCCCCCTGTTGGTGCTCTGCGTCTTCCTGGTGTGTGAGCGCCACCTGGGAGAGGCCTCCGATTGGTTCCCCTACATCGACGTGCTGCCCGCTGCTTACACCTGCCCCGCCTACTTCACCGATGACGTCGTGGCTGTTCTGCCGAGCGACGCGTGGCGACGGGCTTTAGAGCAGAGGGAGGCGGTGCGAGAGCTCCACTCTCTTAATCAGAACTTTTTCAGGTGAGCTCGACACTGCAGCCAGTTATTCAGGTCTCGTGTGAGATCATGTACAGATTAGAACCAGCAGAGCAGAGTTCACTCACACGTTGCGTAACGTAACTCGCAGAAGGCACACCTAATCTTTGCATTGAGATGTTATCCCTCTATAATATTTGTCATTTTCAACATTCCATCAGTCTTCTTTATTGTGAACAATGTCGATGTCGTCCCAAGATGTTTATTCTTGATCCAGATCTCTGCAGCCACTTCTGAGTCAGCCCGTGGATGAGGTGTTAACATGTGAAGCATTGAGGTATGCACGCTTAAACACACACCTAAAAGTGGAAGATAAGCCAATTCATTATCTTGACAGGTGTACAAAGTTCAAGTTAATGACAATGAAAATGTTTCCAGACTATAATTTGTTTTCTGTCAGGTTATTAAGCTGTGACCCTCCTCCTCCAGGTGGGCGTGGTGTAGTGTCAACACACGCTCTGTCTTCATGTCTCACCCATCCAACGACTCCCTCTCTGGGCAGGATGTTTACGCTTTAGCTCCCTTTCTGGACCTGCTGAACCACCGCCCTGACGTGCAGGTAAACGTCAAACTATAGTAAACGCATAACCACAGACCTACCTATGTGTAAAAAGCATATGTGACCTCATCTGCTTCCTGAGTTGGTTTTAACTCATTGGACAGTTGAAAAGATGGAGAGCCAATCATGAGTTTCCACCTTTTTTACCAGGTGAAAGCAAGTTTCAATGACGTGACCAGATGTTACGAAATCAGAAGCCTTTCCGGGACACTCCGCTACCAGCAGGCCTTCATTAACTACGGGTCCCATGACACCCAGCGCCTGATGCAGGAGTACGGGTTTGTCGCCCCCTGCAACCCCAACAGCGTGGTCTATGTGGATGCAGGTGAGCTGCAGCAGGAAATACAAAATCACTCGTCATCGTGGCCTCTGAAGGCAACCCAGATTCATGTTTGGTGTCTTTGTGAATATTGCAGTTGTTGTTTTTCTTGATACAGTTCAGGTTATATGAAAAGTTGACGACACTGTAATCGTAAGTTTGTACTTGTGTGTTTCACTGTGGTCCCTCAGATCTCCTCTGTGACGTTTTAAGAGGTGACAGGAGTTTGGATCAGAAGATCAAGTTTCTCAAAGAGAACAATTTCCTTCAGTAAGGCATTTACATTTACACCGTTATTGTTTCTTTTATGTATCGCATGGTTTGTCTGTAAACCGCTGTAATAGTGCTACGAGATACGATTATTTTATTTTGTTGTGCTTTCTGTCTTCCTCAGAGTAGCAGCAGTTTTTGACTTGTGTCTGGTCTTTATGCTAAAATAGAGATATCGCTGTATTGCACTTAGAAATTATTACAATTTAAATAAGTCTAATAAATTTGATGCATGAACTCACTCCAGCTTGTTTCCCTTCAACTCCTCTTTCTCTTTCTCCCCGTCAGTAATCTCACTCTGTCCAGTGAAGGTCCCGGTTGGAGGCTGATGACGGCTCTCAGACTGCTGTCGCTGCCACAAACACTGTAGTAAGAACACACACACATATATACAGATATACACAGGATGTGTATATCTGTAAAAAAGAAAAGTGAAGCCCCACTGCTCTAGACTCTACATACATGATTTATTACATGTGTGTGTGTTTTCATAGCCACCTCTGGAAGGCGGTGTTGCTCGGCCAGGTACTGTGTGAGGAGAGAGAGGAGTGGAGCGTCCAGACGGCCAAGACTCTCTGTCAGCGACTCCTTCAAGACTCTCACACCGCTCTGGATAAGGTGTGTGTACGCGCACGCACGCACACACGCGCACACACACACACACACACACTTCACAAGCTATCATCCCGATTATTTTTTTTAATGACCTGGTGTGTGTGTGCGCGCGTGTGTGTTTAGATTGCCAATCTCCTCCGGCAGTGCGACCAGCCGGTCAGGGATCAGCTCGATGTGGTCAAGTCACTGAGACAGGAGGAGAGGTGCATCCTGGGAAGCTGTCTTGAGCTGCTGGAAGGCCCGCCGAGACAACCGGACGAACTGTTATCATGCGCGCCTGATGTTGACGCCGTGAGCTGATATCTGATTGGTCACAGTCGCTACAAGAAGCAAAGTTATCGGCTGCACTCAGCTCCTTTTTCAATTCTCAATCTTGTGCCTCCTCCGGAAATCGATCTCAGCGCTCCTCCTTGTAGGACGTCCCAGTTCCTAAGATGCATCAATTTCATTTTCCTGGAGGAGCAGTAAGTGAGGATGCACCGGTGACTCTGCCACACATTGTTTTAAAATGGATGTCTTTTTAAATGCACCTCCTCTCTTTCACCGCTCGTATCTTCCTTTGGGGAGACTTAGACGTGAGGAAAGGAATCAAGGGTGTACAAAATGGGAAATGGGACTGACCCACGTTGATGCTGGACACTCGACAGGTCTCCATGTTCCTGTTCGGGCGACTGCTATCCACTTAGCGACTGTGGCTAAGTGGATAGCAGGGCCGTCTTTCAATCAGAGGGTCAGTGGTTCAAGCTCCGGCTCTGCTAGTCGCATGTCGATGTGTCCTTGAGCAAGACACTTAACCCCAAAATTGCTTCCGTAGTTGTGTCTACGGTATAGAAATGTGATAGACTCTGAATTGTAAGTCGCTTTGGTGACTGTAATGTAATGTAAATGTAATGCTCTGCTTGTCGACCAGTACGACCGACAAAGGCAGCATTGCCCGACGTCCGACGGTTTGATTCCAGGTGTGCTCAAAGAGCTTCTGCTCTGTTATAATGACGGTGAGGATCTGGTCACCACCATCAAAAGTTACACACTACAGTGAAGTAGAATGACTATAAAACTGTTCTTGTAACCTTCTGGACTCATGTAAGACATGTCATGTCTTGTTTATTGTCTGATTTAAAGTGACAGTACAGTTCTCGATCATTTCCATTTAGGAATCTTGTTTGAGACTCAAGTAATTACTAACTACAGAATACAACAACTGCAACAGGTCGCTGCTGTATTTACACCAAAAGCAAGAATTGCAGTCATCTTTTTATTTTTGATCAAACGCGTATTTATTGAGTAAAATGAAGCGTTGTGGATTCTCAATGTATTATGAATGACCTATAATATGTGGGTTGTAGTCTCCTATTATGAAATCATACATATTCAGCAGTCTGTGTTATAAGGAAACACTGTGGCTTGTTGGTTAGAACTGAAGAAAATAGATTCTTCCTGCAGCTTTAAGTGAAGCTGCAGGACAGGTGCCGGTCAGGTGAACTGGAGATTCTGAACCGCAGGTGTTAATATGAGAGTTTCTCTCTGACGGGTCATGATGTCTTGTGCTCCTCTTGATGCTGAGACGGGTTCAGGCCCCTAAAATAAGTAAAAACACTGTTTCTAATCGTTCACTTGTTCTAGTAAACAGTTGGATTCCTGTGAATTTTAGGTCGTTTTACGGTCAGAGTTGAACAACAGCCTTTTTCTTCTGGTGACGCTGCACAGACTCCATGATAACCGTGGCTTCATAGAGAGGGACCGCCTCCTTGGGCTGAGGTCTGGAGAGACGGATTGAAACCAGACAGACCACCACATTACATTTGAGTTAAGTTATACGACAGTGAGTGCTCTTTAAACAGTGGGCTGTAATTCCTCATTGTGTGCAGGTTTGGTCTTAATGGTCTTAAATCTGTAAACTCAATTATGATCTGTATCAGGTCTTTAAATCACAATTAGAGGCACTAAAGTAAAACCAGGGGGTGCATCTTTAAATTGGTACTTTTCAGAGGGTAGAGAAAAAAACCTGTTCAGCTTCCAGCATCTTCTATATTTAATCCCCAATTTAGTGCTATAATTGAATGGATGTGTAAAGAGAACTGGATACAGCTTTGGAGGCTGATTGGAGCGTAAAGCCCAAAAAGTTCAACTTTTGAGAATAGAATGACCCGCGTCCTCTGGGCTCATAAGTGAGCGCACTTCTTTAACCCCGCCTCCCAGCCCTCGGCCCCGCCTTGTTCTCGGTCTCATTAACATAAACAGAGGGAGGAAAATAACTGTGGATGTGGCTTTCAGTGCATTTTACATCATTTATTTCATGATTTGAATTAGGGCTATTCAGGTGTTCGTACTGGGAAGCTGATTTACCTTAAAGAAAATGATCCGCCGGGTTAAAGATGTGTCTTTTACGATGTAGGTCTAACGGGAAAAGTCTTTTTGGGATGCATGGCATCACGTGATGGACCCCAAAGTTGTTATTTCACCATTTGGCCAATATGGGGTTTGATTTAGGCTTGACATGCTCATGTTGAGCAGCCTGCATTGATGATTACACCAAAGAGATGATAAAATAACTTTTGTGATTTAGCCTCACCTTTATGTGATGAGTTTCTGCCACGAAATACTGAATTTAAATGTATATTTCATGTTTGGATATTGAGTTGTATTCATCGACCAGTATCTGTGGATAAACAGTCGATGTGACGCGATGCGTTACCTGAGGACTCCAGCAGACATCTTCTCCACGATGTCCTTGAGGATATCTGACGGGAGTCTGTCAAGGAGGGACTTTATGTACCTGATGGTGTGCATGTATGCTTTATAGATCACACGCTGTGTGGAACAGGATACGCAGGTATCTGCCCTGCTGCGCAGATGAAGCCGTCCACACTTCATGGTTGAGGAAAGACATGGAGGCGGATTTTAAGTACAGCAGTCTGCAGTCTGGAGGATCCAGCTGTAAAAACACAACAGTGATAAATACGACTGTGAGACTTGTTTGTTTCGTTTTTTAATCTCTTTCTAATACATTTTAAGATGTATTGTAGACTCTTTCTATTTTGAGATTTTTGAAGCAGAGGGATTTTAAAGAACTCACCTGCAGGTCTTTGTGGGTAGTGACCCAGTGCCCCCCCACTCCCAGCACACTGATGATGTCATGTTTGTGTGGGAGGAGCTTCGCCTCCTCTGACTCTTCCTCTTGCAGACGCACTACACACACACACGCGCGCGCACACACACACACACACACACACACACACACACACACACACACACACACACACACACACACACACACACACACACACAGAGCTGGTGTTATGATGTTGAATCGTTCCTCAGTGTGAATCAGACACAGAGAGATGTGTTTACCTCCAGAGTCGACCACGATATCCACTCCCAGTCCTCCCGTCTCCTCCAGAACCGCGGGCAGCAGCTCTGATGGGCCGTTAAACACTGGAATAACTTTGGCTTTGAAACAAGAGAAACAGAAACATTATCTCACGAGTCAATCTGGTTCATATCACATTAAAAAAACTCAAATCTGCCAGTTTGATGCCAAAATATCTTATTGGAAGTTCGGCTTAGTTGTCATGGTTGTAGTTTCATCGTTTTGCCACATGGTGGCAGCAGATTTCAGATAAAGATATTTTCACTTTTTAAATTCAGTCTCCCTTTCATATTTATTTAGAATGAGAAATGAGTAAGGTCTTATCTTGGGGTAACATACCTAAATTAAATGTTAACTCTGTGACAAACATACAGACATTTTATTTTCTAGGTTATATTTTCCCCTTATTTTGGTCCCCTTGCATGATCTTTTTCTTTTATATACTTATTTAATCAGCATTGTTGGTGGGGACCTGAGACTTACCAACAACTTCCTCTCTGTAATTGTTTTGCATATGATAAATATTGAACTTGAAAATGTGTAAAAACAACACATCCAACATACTAACAGCAGTGATTTCATCCTGGATTCAGACAGACGAGCAGGGACACAAAGCGATAAACCTAAAGCTCATATTGATCAATCAGACTGAGATGAGAAGATCAGCAAGGAAGCAAGAAAGCAAGTCAGCAAGAAAGAGAGAAAGAGAATATCTCACCTACTAAAGGATCCTGAACACCTGAGGAAAGTATGATGGTGAGGAGAAAAGAGCAGAAGAAGACAGGAAAAAGACACAAATAACAGGTGAAAGAGGAGCAATAGGGGAGCAATAGGGGAGCAATAGGGGAGCGTGAAATAAATAGAAAAGAAAATGTGCTGCGAGTTCGTAGATAATGCATTTCAAATCGAGATTTAAATAAAATCCTTTTAAAAGTGAACTACAGACGTCACAACGTCGGCCTGTACTTACCTACGCTGGGCCGAAGCTGCTCCAGGAAGGTGTGTTGTTGCGGCGAGTGTGACGTCGTGAAAACCTTCACTCCGTGGTAACAAGCCAGCTGGATGCACATGAGGCCAAAAGACTGAGGAGGGAGCAGAGACGGGAACATCACATTTAATTCTGTCTTTATTATATCGTTTTAAGAAAAGAAGAGAACGACAGGAAGCTTGTTGCGACAGAGATCCTCTGATGTGCTAAAACTGTCCTGGATGAATGTTTCTCCACCACGTCCAGCTCTTTACTATTCTTACGTACGCTGGCTCCGTCCATGACCAGGAGCGTGTGTCCCGCTGCCACGCGAGCGTGTGTGTGCAGGGCAGTGTGAGCACAGAGGGCGTCACGCAGAGCGCCGGCAGCACACACCGAGCTCAGCTTCTCTGGCTTCTGAACTGCAGAACAGAGAAACAGAAACACACACGCGTGTGCTGGATCAGTGGTTTACAGATGTATTTATACCTCGATGACGTCGTTATTAACTGCTGTCCAGTGATTTTCAAAGCACCTACAAGAACAGCATTTCCTCTGCTTCTTACAAACTGCCAGCACCACTTTATTTTTGAAGCATACGAGGTGCAGATGAAAGGCTGACACGGAACAGTCCCTTCAGATAAGCAGTACGCCGGCTGTCTCTTAGGACCAAGTGGAGCAGCTGACAACAGTTCCACCTTTCAGATGAAGGGCTGTGACCTGGGGTGCTTTTTTGCTGCTCGTTGCAAGAACAAACTGCATGTTGTGCGACCTGCATTGGTGTGTGTGTGTGTGTGTGTGAGAGATACCTAAATAGTGTTCATCTATGTCAATGACATCGCAGAGTCCAGAACAGGGAGAGTCCAGAGGCAGAATACCTGGAACAGGAAGGTTGGCAACGTTACATCATCAACCATTAAAAATCACAGGGTGGAAAGTTAAACTCATATTTTAATGAGTCAATAGCTTATTTGTCACCCTGTCACAGATTTTGGTAGCATTAATTTAGACATGGCAGCTTGGAATCAAATTATTTAAAAGTGTTTCCACCACCGAAATAAAATGTATTCTATGGAATTCACAATACAAATACATGATAACAATGAATTATCACCCAGTTCTAGTTATCGTAAATTATTTGTTATCAGATATTACAAACACATCCGATAACTGTCCACACTGTTTACTCTTAATCTTTCACCAACGACTGTAAATAAATACAAATGTCTTACCAACAACCTCATCCTCCGGCTGGAAGAAAGACACCTTGGCGCCCACTGCGGGAAAAAACACACAAAGATATTTAAGTGATGTTGACAAAAGGTCTGTATTCCTTTTGAACAATCAGATTAAAAAGTGTGTTTTGGGTGTTAACAACCTTGCAGCACGACCCCGGCCACCTCTCTGCCAACAGGAATTAAATCTCTCTTTATCCCGACATCATCGAGCAGCTGGAGCAGAGAGAGGAGGACGCATCAGTCATCACTACGGCCATTTATTAAGTGACCTTTACTGGCATGAATGTTAGGAAACAATACTGAAAAATGCAGCTCTAATTCTAAGCAGCCTGTCAGCTGTAAGGAAGCAGCAGCTGGATGAATGGACACATGCAGAACTGGACTACACAAGATGATTTTTAAATGTATTTACAATGTTTAATAAGTCCTCCATAAAAGATATTTTGGAGTCAACTAAGCTTTTATGTTATCTTATATTTAATAATTACTTTTAAAGTTTTATTTTGTATGATTTTGAGCTGACGTCCTTATCTTTTTTTCTCCTGTACTCATAGTTCCAAACATGTAACACATTTATGATCCTGTGTGCAGAGTTCACATCTCTCATTGGACCATCGTGGATTCTTTAATAGGTAATAAAAGCAACTAAAGACAGTTTAATATGTCTTGGATATCTGTTCTACTCTCTGGTTATTCACTGTTATTTAACGGTCACGCTCACATCCACTAAGACACCATCTTTGATTAAAGTACCTTGAGGTCCAGCGGGCTGAGTCCACAAGCCTTTACCTGAACCCTGACCAGGTGGCTGCCTAAAACCTCTGGGAGACTCTGCAGAAAAACACACAGACATAAAGGTATCTCATAAGAGAAATATAATGTTAATAAAGAGACACAAATACAGATTGTAAAGGAGACATTATGGATGCATTTGTCAGCCATCAAACATTCAGCATTTTCATCCCCTAAACACTGTAATACAATTTAAACTGTTGTCTATAAATTATTATTTGTCAAAATGCTGGACACACGTGTTCTCTGCTGCACAGTGATGTCTGCAGGTGGAGCCACCGTTACACACATGCAGGCGAGTTTCTTTTTGCTTTCCCTGATTCCGGTGCTTCAGTGTGTAATGTGGCTCATGCTGATAATCAGAGACACAAACTCACCGTTTCATGGATGACGAACTTGGGCTCAGCACCAGCTCGGCAGTACAAACCTTTCATGCTGTTACACCTTTAATTTATGCAGCTGCAAAGTCACAATATAAGCAATCGTCCTTAATTAACGTTTATCTGTTTACTGCTGTAGATGTTGCTGCTTTCCTGTTCCTGACTCGCTTGAGTCAGCTGACCTCTTCTTCTTTGTTGTTTACATTTTTTGCTTGTAGTATTAAAGACCATCACAGCACCGCCCTCTATTGGCTGTTATGGATTACCACAAAGTACCATACAATAAGTACTGACACAAAGAAAGACTGAGCCTTTACAACGTGATTTAAAGTTAAACTCACATGTGAAGTGAGGGAACCATCATCTCCCAGAATTAATATGTATTAACATTTCTTTCATCCACCTCATCACTTCAGCTTTGTATTTGCAATCATGTGCAAGCAATCCAGGAATAAAGTGCACAACAGCTTCACTTAATAATATTAATAATATAATTTTGTTTTGATCTTTGCCTTTTCCTTCTATTCTCTCTAAACCATCATCTATGGCATTGTGTTAAAGTAGATTTATATTTAATTTAAAGATGTCCTTCTGTTTGTCTAATTATTAGAAGGAAATGTTCTAAACTAGATGCATAACTTTAAAGTATGTTTTTATTTCTTTGAGCAGTGCTATTCAGTGCTATATGGCTGCTGTTTTATGTGACTAAAATGTAATATTAGCTATGGTGGATTATATATCTATTTTCTGTCATTTCTCAATCGTTATCCTCCTCATTTAGATAACAAATCAAATAGAGACTATCCCCAAAATACGAACATATAAGAATTGTGTTATGTTCTTTGTTAAAATGATGTCACCTATGTCTTACACGATACATCTTTGGTAGCTTTATTGTATTTAGCTTCAAAGTTTTACCATTCTGATAGACATGCACGTTATTCTTATTTACATCTTTGTTGGTTTTGGATGTATTTTGACGAATTTTTTTTATTTTTTATTTTTATTTTATTAAACAGCAGCCGGTCCGGCAAGAGGCGCAACTAATCCTATTAATAACAGCTTCCCATATAGTTTCGAAGCCAGTAAGATCTCGCGAGATTAGCCATCACATATCGCGATACTTCAGAAAACGTTACCCCATTTTCCAGCTGTCCCTCAATCGGTTGGGATTTCGGAACCACCACAGGAGAGAATCACCGGGAAGGGTTTCGTTTTGGTGATAAAAAACCAGCACATTTACACCTTCACATGGTCACACAAACACGCAACCAGCTACTACATCCTGTATTTCACGATGGAAACCGAACTATGAGGTAAGAGTGTAGTATGTTACTGACGTTAGCTTCTTACTGGTTAGCCTGCTTGCTAGCTGCAATGATAGCCAGTATGCTAATGTTTAAATCACTGCATCTGCACTGTGCAGTGTGCGCGTGTGTGTGTGTGTGTGTGTGTGTGTGTGAGTGTGTGTGAGTGTGTGTGTGTGTGTGTGTGTGTGTGTGTGTGCGTGCGTGCGTGCGCGCGCGCGTGTGTGTGTGAGAGAGAGAGAGTGTGACCTGACGTTAACATTGACTGGGCTTGTTGTTAACCTAAGCCTCGCTTACATTAGTAGGTATTAATATTATATATATATATATATTTAATACTATTAGTAGGTAATATATATTCATGGGTGGAGGCTTTTCCCCCTTCAGTTAGCATAGCATTTTGCTAACATTTGAACCTGATGTGTTAGTCACAGCTGCACACATCTGGCTGACTAGTCCCGTCAAAACAAGCCGCCTGTAGTGTCCTATTCTATCTGTTTACAAGTGCTTTTTGGGGTTGTTCAGCAAGGCACTAATGCAGGAAGTGAAGATGAATTGACTAACAGACCTTTCCTGTAACAGTAAAAAAAAAAGCTGTTTCCAGAGAAGTCAGCTCACACACACATCCTCAGCTAGTTGTTGTGTTACTTAAAGGTTTGGGAGACTTTTGCAGATTTAAAAACACCATGTCAAGTGAAGTTATAAGTGCAGACTGGTGCTAAGTGTCTACCATCTTGATTTAAGATAGAATGATGCTTTGATCCAGCACAAACCTTAGCTTCACATCTGTGTTGTTGTTTGTTTAACACTGTTTCAAAGGTGCAAAGAGACATTTACAATGCGATGCGTGTTTGTCGTGATCACCTCCTGTGTGGATCACACCCTGCTGACAATAGCAAGTGTTTGACTGCATATGTTGCTGACACGCCCTCTGTTCTGCAAAGGGTTTAACGAGATTCCACTGATTAATTGAGTAGTCAGTAGTCACTGGACGGGACATTAACTGGCAACTATTATGAGAAGCGATTAATTAATACAGTTGTTTGATCAAGCAAAAGTGGAAACTATTCTGTGATTGAAGAATCTCAAATATCAATATGTTCACCAAACATCTTCACTTGAGTTTTTTAAAAAGGATTCATCAACAGACCAAGACCAAACTTCTTGCAGAGTAAAGTTCCAGAGAACCTTCTTGTTTTGAAGTCTTGTTATCGTGTAATAATCAGTGACTGCCGCTGAAATACTGACTGAAAGAGGCCTCTAATGGGTCATAACAGCATAATATGCCGGAGTCGGGCAGAATGTCTCAGCTCTGAGTTGTACCTGGTTTCTTCTGTGTCTAGCAGCCTTATCAGATGTTATATACTATGTATACATTTTAACTATTGCTTAAACCATACAAAGAGTTGTCTAGGTGGATCATTCTCCATCTGAATGTTACCTTTGAACTCTGCAACTTAGCTGTGTGTGTGTGTGTGTGTGTGTGTGTGTGTGTGTGTGTGTGTGTGT